ATGTTGCAAGGGTAATTAGAAGAAAAATCATAACCATCATTCAAAGTACATTAAGTAAGTTCAATTTTAGTTTAGGATAAAGTAAAAGAATATTTTTGATAGAAAGCCACCCACACATGGACATCCGTAATAAAGTTTCATGCATATTAAATAAGATGCCCGCGCATATGCGCGGGCTACCTTTCTAGTTTTGTAAAAAAATATCGTAACAGTTTGCATTACATTTGAGAAAGAAAATACACATATCATTCCCTTGAGGGATCGATTAATGGCTAGAACTCATCTTCCTTCGGCAGACACGCATGGATTGCGTAAAAAAAACTTCAAAACCATTTGCTAGGAGTAGATCCATACATGTGGGTGATAGTACTGAGGATCTTGTGGCGTTGTGCGTCTGCCAGCTTATTGATTTAGGCTAGGGAGATGTGACCACCACAAGAAAAGGTGACCAGGTATGTAAAAGGCTGTTACAACTAGAGTATATAAATACAAAGGTACAAATAAATGACTTTGGTAGAAAATAGATCCAAGAATATGACCTGATCGATCTATATATAAACTGACCCACAGATACCACAAACCGTACCTCCTTAAATCCTTAATTAATTACATAACCATAAGAGCATAATTCGATTTTTCATATTTATCACAGAAATTATGTTGCATTATAAAGACATTATTTAATTATTTAGTTATTTGGGCTTTTATACAAGGAAAAAGTATGAATTACCTCCTGAACTATTAAGCTAGTATGAATTACCCCATAAGCTACAAAACCAAATATTCTACACCCCAAACTTTTCATACCGAACAAATAACCCCCTAACTCAATCCAGAGCGACTTTAATCTACATGTCGCTTATGTGACAATCCAGTCAACCTAAAAAACAATAAGATTCAGTGGGCCCAATATTTTGGGTTGCGAACCGGGACTAAAATCCCCTCCCCCCCCCCCTCATCAAAAAGAAAAACAGTGAGGATGCATGCAGCCCAGCATAGGTAAGTGGTTTTTGTGACGGGTCTATATGTGCGCCCGACAGACAACACCTCTGACGAGCCCGCATATAGGCTCGTCACAAGTGACCTGTAACCTGTGACAGGTTAGTACTATGGCCGTTAGTGGCAAGTTTAACTTTCAGCTCTATACATGTTGTCTATCTAACCCGTTAAAGATGAAAAGTCAATCTCCAAAGGTTTTTTTTCACCCTGTCACTAATAGAAGCCACCAATGATAAATTCATTTTTAATCTCTCTCCACCCTTTCTCTTTCGATCTCTTTCTTGACCTCTCATCTCTCTCTCGAACTCTCGAACTCTCAGCCCACTCTCTTCCTGTCATCATCCTGTGGAGTTAGCGGATGACGATGTTTACGAAGGCGGTGCCGGCAGGTGCACGGAGCCGAAGGCGGTGATGGCATTGGCGTCGGCATCGGTGGGAGGTCGTGGTCGAAGGTGGAGGCGGCAGTAGATTTGGGACAAAACCAGAGCCTGCAGGTGCGTAGGGTCGGAGGCCGCGCCGGCACCTACGGGAACTCGGGGTGAAGGCTGCACTGCTTGGTGGTGGAGGGGAAGACAAAGATTGAAGCGGAGGGCGAGAAGTCCAAATCTGCCTAGCTCATCATCACCAGAAGGGGAGATGAGGAGGGAGGCGCACTGGGTGAAGGATGAGGCTGGGTGGAGGGCCGAGAGCTCGCCGACCTCGTCTTCTCCACCTCCGCTGTTAAATGTGTGATCCGAATTTTAGATCCACAATATATTTGGATTAGTTATCTAATAGGACTCTATTTTATAGGATTAGTTTCCTAGTATGACTCTAAGTCTTTCCCCCACTAGGACTTCTAGATTTCTCATATATATATCCCTTGTAAGCCGCACGGGGAGGGTGCGACAACCCAATGTATCCCCTGCGTTTGTATCCAATTCCTCTATAGTGATCATTGCTGGTCGGCGCCCGTGGTTTTTTCCCACAAGGGTTTTTCCATATAAAATTCGTGTCTCCGTTGTGCATCTATTTTTATAGCATTAGGGATCGATCTACTAATCACACAGCCACCGGTGTGATTTTTCGGATCGGAGTATCGATCTGATTGGCCTCGTCGTCGATGCCGCCGGGGAAGGAGCAGCAGCGCACGTCGCGGAGAATCGGCCACAGCAGCAACGCGTCGTCATCGTCGCAGAAATCAATTCGGTGAGATTGAATCACCGGTGAAGCAAACCCGAAGCGGTGTCGACCAGATCGATTTAAGCAGGTGCTCCAACACATCGATCTGAATCACGTCCATCAAGCAACGCAGGAGAAAATCAGAAGCAGCAGCAGGGTTGAAGCCATTGATCTATTCCGCACGCATCCCGAGGAAGGAGAAAAGTCCAAGCCTTCAGCAGCCTTCTCGGTTCTGTTCATGTGAATTAAATTTCACGTTGGAATTGTTACGTGCACACGCCCTTCGCACCAGGGATTTAAGCCTTGCATTGTTTTGGTTCTGTTCAGGGGGACACAAATTCACGTTCCAGATTGCTATATTCACAAGCCAGTCTACCAGGAGCTTCTGCACGGAGATCAACTTCGTTTTACGCACCCAGAGTGTTTCGCGTTTCTGCTAGGGTTTGACAAATTGTACCAGCAGATTCAGGATTTTATTTTTAAGGCGAGTTTGAAGTTTGATCTACTGCTTCTGGATTGAGATGTAATATTCTTGTTATGGCAAGTGAGGTTGCAAGTTGGCACATCTTTCATGGAGGAGGAGCTAATACTGTCGTGACCAGTTTATCAGCTGCGCATACATATTTCAGGACACACAAGCAAAGTCGTCGAGAGGGAGCTGCAAGGTTGCTGTCCAAATCACGTGGAGATGGTCAAATTTCCGGCGGAATTGCTATGTCCGTTTGCCCAGTATATCAGAAGGTTATAGGGAGATGTGGAGATCTAAGTACTTCGTTTTGAGCACATCAGTTTCGCGTTTCTACTAGGATTCCATAAATTAATGCCAGCAGATTCAGGATGTTATTCCCATGGCGAGTTTGAAGTTTGTGCATTAGTTTCGCGTCTCTGCTAGGTTCACACCGGTTTATACTAGTAGATTCAGGATCTATTCCCAATGCCTCTTCTGGATCAAGGGTGTTATGATTATAGTCCAAGTGACTATTTGGCGCACATTGATTTTATCATCATGAGGTTGTTTGGAGATTGAAGATTTTTATGCAACAAGGGAAATTCGTATCAAGGTGGAGATTGTTAAATATGTGATCCGAATTTTGGACCCACAATATATTCGGATTAGTTATCTAATAGGACTCTCCTTTATAGGATTAGTTTCCTAGTATGACTCTAAGTCTTTCCCCACTAGGACTCCTAGATTTCTCCTATATATATCCCTTGTAAGCTGCACGGAGAGGGTGTGACAGCGCAATGTATCCCCTGCGTTTGTATCCAATTCCTCTATAGTGATCATTGCCGGTCGGCGCCCGTGGTTTTCTCCCGCAAGGGTTTTTCCATGTAAAATTCGTGTCTCCGTTGTGCATTTATTTTCATAACATCCGCCATAATCTCCATCTTCGCGGTGGCTCCCGTGCTTTGGGCAGCCAGATCCGGCGGCCCCCAAGCTCAGGGTGGCCATCGGCTAGAACTTAGGAGCCGTTTGAGATATAGTTACCAAATACGGGCTAGAACTTAAAAGAGTCGTTTGAGAGATAGCATCCAATGACGGGCCAGAACTTAGGAGCTGTTTAGGAGATAGTTACCGGTGATGGGCCTTCACCTGTCAGAGGTGAGGTGGACTTACCACTAACCACTTATCTCTAACGAGGATAGTACCCATCACAAATGACCATTTGAGCCTGTCAGAGATGATATGGACCAGTCTAGTGAGTACATTTATTTCGATAGGTAAGTTGTGCATTCCTGTATAGCTCTGCCAAAGGGAACCATTGCACGTGCTTCCTTGCCGAGGTTGAATTCTTACGTATGCAAAATAATTTTGTACCACATTTTATCATCGCACTAGTCAAGTTATTATATCAGTACGCTTTTTTTAAAAAAGTTTTTGATGGATCGCACGTAGCTATTAAATCTTATATCGTGAGCATAATTTACGCCCTTTTTATTACTAAAGATATTAGGTTTCATTCGCCATAAAAGAAATATTTCTTTGTGTAGACGAATTAAAGTAATCTACCTGTACTGATCTTCTGATGTATACGTACGTACGTATCCGTCATTATTGTGCTATCAATTAGTCTCACCAATGGTACAGTTGGCAATTTCGGGGGGACCAAATCCCAAAATTTTTGAAAGTTCGAAGCAAATAAATAATATTTTTGAAATTGAGATTTGAACATATTTTAGCTAAATTTACTCGTAATAACTTTTGGCTAAATTCAAAGATTATGGGGTGAGTATAACTCAATTGGTTATGTTCTTTATAGTGTAATCAATCCACCCGAATTTTATTTGTACGTGACATCGTACTCGTTGATTGTGAGGTGTCTATTGAAACTTCGTCAATTTTAAGTTATGTCGGTTCGTTTTCTCAAATGAGAGAGTGTGTGTGCGCATCTTGTGTTTATAGTATGTTTCTAAAAAGGAAAAATCAAAGATTAGCTTAATTAGCCACAATTCTACCGGGACCCACCAAAGTGTGATTTGCGAACCCTGACCAGTACACTGATCGACTGTACATCTCCCTAAAGTCAAGCTAGCTGCCTATCATGTCAGAGAAGAACCACATTCCATATGCTTTCGTTCTAGTACAAGAAGAAACTGGAGAATTTTTCGCTTCATAATTTTAATTTTACTCACTATAATTCACTACGATCCACGGATCCAGCATTGATGACAAGCAGTGAATTCGGCGCGAAAGTTGGCAGCTCCATCGATCTACAGATCTACGTACTCTGTACCTTTCACCGCCCGCAGATCAAGTGAGCTGTATCATCAATTCAATTTATCAACATCCATGCACACAGTTGCAGCTAGCAGGCGATCGATCGATCGATCGATGAAGCCTATATAAACCCATGCATCTCCAAACCATCTTCTTCATCCATCACCTCACTCACCTAGCTCGATCAGATAGCTACTCTTTCCATCTCTCCACACAGTCCAGCAATGGCTGCAGCAGGTAGAGTGCTAGCTCTCCTCGCAGTCCTCATGGCGGTCGCCGCCCATGGCGAGGCGGCGTCGGTCGTCGTCGGCCTCGCCAAGTGCGGCGACTGCACCAGGAAGAACATGAAGGCCAAGGCCGCCTTCAAGGGTGCGTGATGATTAGATCGTGTCCCCGTTCTTTTTCGGATTATTTTTTATGTACGAATTATTCGTGCCATGTTTTTAAAATTGTAATTTCTTTTGAAAAAATTATACATCAGCATTACTTAGCATTACCTAGGTAACTTATTCTAAATTATTTATTACTCACTCCATGTCTAGATAAGTATAATTTTAACTAGTCAAACACACACATCTTAAGGAAAAGTTATAAGATTATTATGTCCTTTTATTAATACAGGGAAAAAACGAGAAGGGGTGAGAAAATAATTAGGAGGGAGTTTTATTGGGTCAATGGTTAAAAAAGAGAAAAATATATATAATAGTATTAAAAAGATCTAGTGGACCAATGTAATATTATACTCTTTTATGGACAAATTCTTATATCAAAACTACACTACGTTAAGGAAGAAGAAAGTACATTTATAATAATATATAATATATAATATCGAGGACAGCACATATCTCAGCTGGCAGGGAGCTGCCAGGAGAAGCGTGCTGGTTCGAATCCATTTGAACGCAGGTTTTCTCACTATTTTCTTAGTATTCCAAACATTTTCAAATAATAATATATAATATCAATTTGTCCCTCTAATCAATGCATCTTCTATCATTGTTCTATTGTTAGCTTATTAAGGCCCTGTTTGATTATCACTATTTTCTTAGTATTCTAAACATTTTCAAATAATAATATATAATATCAATTTGTCCCGCTAAGCAATGCATCTTCTATCATTGTTCAATTGTTAGCTTATTAAGGCCCTGTTTGATTCAGCTTAGGATTATTTGTTTGTTCTATTGTTAGTTTATTAAATTCAGCTTAGGATTATTAAATCAATACAGCCTACCTATCTTATTTGATTTGCCATTGTTTTTTTTTTTAGAAAAGGCAAGCTGCCAATTTCATTGAATAGAGGAGTAAACTGTACATTAAGTGAGATTTATATATATATTTGCGCGCAGGTCTCCGTGTGGCGATCAAGTGCAAGAACGGCGCCGACGGCGAGTACGAGACGAAGGCAGCCGGGAAGCTCGACGGCGCCGGCGCTTTCCGTGTGCCGCTCGCCGCCGACCTCCGCGGGGCCGACTGCGTGGCGCAACTCCACAGCGCGGCGCATAACAACGCGGCGTGCCCGGGGCAGGAGCCGTCGAGGGTCATGCAGCTGTCGGAGCGCACCTTCGTCGCCGTCGCCGGCAAGACCCACTATGTGTCGCCGGTGTGCGCGTCGGCGACCATCTGCGAGCCCATCAAGAAGCACTTCTTCGACCACTTCCACCACAACAAGCCGGCGCCCGCCGCACCGTCGACCAAGCCAGCGCCCAAGCCGCACCCCGACCAGCCGCCGCACCCTAAGCCGACGCCGACGTACGGAACACCGAGCCCGTACCACCCGCCGGCGAGGAACTAATTGAGCCGTCGATCGAGCTCACACATTATTATGATTCTTTTTAAATTTCTGCTCTGCGTTAGCTTAATGCCATTATGATATATTGTTGTCAAGGTTGGAGTAGCGCAGACAGCTTTGTGTTAGTTGATTTTGAGTTTCTTGGGTCGATCGAATAAGGTTTCAGGTTGATTTGTGAGGTTTGAGTCAATACAGGTGTGTTAGTATCAGGTAGATTTGTCTCAGGATTCGTTTGCTTGTTTGTTGGAATTAATTTAATTAATATGATATTTATTTGTGTATTTGTGTTCTTTCCACTTCGTAATAAGATCCCATAAATTAGTATTCACCCAATCTAGAACCGAATTAAAGACATTCTAATATTATGCACTAGGATGTGTTTAATTACTATGGTCGTACGTTGCTATACAAAGACTCAACTTGGCCCTATTAACTTCCAGAATTGCATAAGAGGTACAATTCCTGGGACGAAAAGGGGAAATCGTAATTTCCATGAAATTTTCTAATCCAGCTGATTTAAGGTCAACTTGAACAAATTTCCACTAAATTAATACATATTCAAGATATTTTTGCTAGATGCACTTCCTACAAGGACTTACTAGTAAACCCAAAAGTTTAGATATTTCCTGATTATACTGTACATGAGGATTGTTCTAAGCTGTTTCTTGTTTCTTGCTGAGCCTTAGGGAGAATAGCTACTTTATCACTAAACTTTCTCTGTAGGATCAGTTTAGTCTCTAACTTTTTAAATGGTTCAAAGAAATCCTTAACCTTTGTCATAAGGCCTAGAATAGTCCTTGGATCCACCAAAATCATCCTATGGATATGCCATGTCATTATTCATACAAAATCTATGATGAATTGTCTAATTTAGCCTTACATATATCATAGAAAAATAAATATAAGGGTGAATTAGACATAACCATAGGAAAAAAAATACTTCTTTTTTCACCCTTTTGAGGTATATTTTTACTCTTACATATACCATATATTTTTTTTAACTTTTTCCTTTTGTTTTTTATTTTCCTATGCATAAGGGTAAATTGGACAAATCATAAAGATTTTGCATAGGAAGGTGACATGGCATGTCCATGTGGCGATTTTGGTGGGACCAAGGACTATATTAGCTCACATGACAAATTTAAAGGACTTGTTTAGACAATATGAAAGATTAAGGACTAAAATGACCTAGGAGCGAAACTTTAGGGACCATATTAGCTATTCTCCCCTGAGCCTTACAGAGGTAGAGGGTGTAATAGCGTAGCTAACCAGCCCACCACTCAACCCAACCCAACCGTAGCCCAGTTCAAACCCTTGGGCCAATCCTATTGGGCTGTGCTCATATGTGCAAATGTGCACCGCTTATAACAGGAAAAAGAAAAAGTCTATCACTTCGGCATAAAACATGTTGAAGAGGGGAAAAATCATATAGCCTGAATGTTTCTCTCCATACTCCACATGGTATTTTACAACCCGACAAACTGAGATGTACAAACAAGAAACGAAATACCTTAACACAAATAATAATAGTTTAACCTAACAGTAAAAAGCATCTACTATTGGTAGGACATATTGCTAGCTTAAACTTTATTATTTTCGCACAAGTGAAAAACATTAAAACAAAGTACTAAAAAGGCATAAGATTGGAACTTTCAGATTCCATGCAAGGGTTGCTATAAAGCATAGGCACATTTTCAGACGGCTGAATAGAAACTACTATTACACTACAACTCAATATCTGACAAATTCTCAAGTCCAGCACTACCAATAATTCTAGGGGAAATTAGAAACTAACTTTCGTTGCATTTTCCCAGGTAAGTATAATGATAGCAAACAGTTTTCAAAGTGGTCCACTTCAATACAAATCAACTTCACTGTGTTTTCTTGGATTCTGCTTGGGGCTTCCAAAGACCAAGACGATACTTGTGAGCGAAACTCAAAATTAATTTCCTCTGCATCACAAGTATAAAAGAGAAATAAGAGAACTTAATAGATCCCCTAAAAATTATTTTCACATACCTCAACAAGGAACTCAGAACAGATAAAAAATAGTTGATAAATAAAGATACTGTTATCAAGATGATTCCACCAGCCTAATCCACAACCATGTTACAAGTATCGACTAGCTTAGGTGAGCACCCTACCTTTTAAGTTCCTGGGCGGGTGATCAACCTCAATATTAGTAGCAATGTTCAGAGTTTTACTTGAGATTTAAATAATAAAAAAATATGCTTGTGCTGTAGGTTAGGAGAAGCAATATTACCGACAAACCTACAAAGGTGTTCTATTTCCTAGAAAACATCATGACATGCTAATGAAGATTCCAGTCTCAATATGCTGGCAGCAAATAATTCAAAGGGATTGGCTTAAGGTATTAAAAAAAGGGACGTACTATATTTGATTTGACTGCTTTCTAAAGGAAACATAGTAAGTTTCCAAACAATGCATTAACAGCAGACAGCCAAGATCATCCTTAACTGGACAAATACAAATTGGAGAGAGAAGAAACTCAAGGAAGAAAGGAAGAATAAGAAACGGTAAAAACAGAGATCGGGAGGGAGACAAACATGGCAAGGAGATGTCTAACTCATCTCCAAATTTGTATACAGTTACTAGTTAGCCAATGTCTTCACATTGTCTGCAAAATGGGATCAGGTTCCCATTACTTAACAAAAGGAACTGAATATTTCCTTCAGCATGCAGGTCATAAGCCACATGTGTGTTCACTTCAGAATATCATGTAAAACTCAAATTGTATATTTCACAACCAAGAATCCAGCCTAAGTACAATGCAAAACCATGGAACTTTCTTGGCATCCAAATATTACAATTGTCTTGAAGGAAAATTTGTGTTATTTTGCACATCAAATTCTAGACACCTTAGCATTGTCAAATTCACTAAGGCATCTAAAAAAGCATTAAAAAATTGATTAATTTCATAGCTTAATTAAGTAAAAATGTATCGCTCTACGAAAAACATGGTTCGGAATACCACATCTCGCTGTTGAGTAATTCACTTGAAGTCATTCCCAATAACAAAAGGGTAATATATCAACATCTCAGATCAGAGAGGTAAGTTCCCTTCAAGTTCAAAGTATGAGACTATGCCAGAATTACTTAACTTTCACTACTTGGATGCTGAAACTTGACCAAACAAAAGAAAATTATCCACATAACACTTATCTATATTCCTTTAGAAAAAACATTAACACTGACATAGCTTATTAATCAAAAGAAAAAAGTTTAGTTTTAAAACATAAGGGTTTCCATGGTCAAATGCTTATCCAGAGCAGTCTAGAGAGAAATAAGCAACCTAGTACAATACTGATTCGTTCAAAGCCAAGAGTTAGATAACACACAGACAAAATTACCATCAGAAAACGTTAACCTCAAAGCATGCCGAATTACATAGCATTAGCTAATCTGTTAACTAAAAATAAGTTGAAATCCACTCAGATGAAATAACAAAAACATTCCTGAGAAAGCGACACTTATAGTTGTTAAGTGCCGAGTGCCGAAACCCCTGTGGTTTTTGTGCAACTTGGAACACAAAGCATATGATTCTGTGAAATTTGCTCAAAATTTAATCATGCATCCAACAATTTCTCAAACAAAAATGTAGGCATAATACAACGAGCCATTGTTATAAGCACACATATGGATCAGTTCGCTTCTATGAAACAAAAATAACGACGACATCTAATAACGGCAGCATCATACAACGAAATCTAACCAAAACATATAATCACATTCCGAAATGCTGAATAGCAGAGGAAACTAGCATAATCACAATCCGTTGCTCAATCTGCACATACAGAGATGAACCAAGAGGCTCGACTGAAGGAGATTACCTGCTTGCAGGGGATGCCGAGCTTCTTGAGCCGCAGAGTGCGGGCGTGGAGGAGGCTCTGGAGGTCGCCGCCGACCGCCTCCTCCACCTTGGCGGCGTGCGTCTCCACCCCCTTCCCGACCCCGTTCAGGAACTCCACCACGCCGACCTTGGCTGCCGCGCAGGAATCACGCTCCAAATCCAATTCAATCACCAAGAAAAGAAAGCACGGAAGAAAATCGGGGAGGGGGTATACCCACCTTGGTACGGATGCGCGTGGAAGGATCTCGCCGGAGCTCCGGCTCCGAGGCGGCGCAAATGAGACGCACACGCGAGGGCCATGGTGTGCGGCGGTTGGCGGTGGCGGCGGCGGCGGCGTTGGAGAGGCGCGAGGTGGACGAGGTGATCTGAGAAATGGGCCCCATGTGGCAGGCAGGCTGGCTGGCGTTCTGGAGTGGGCTGGGCTGCCTCGGTGGAATTCAGCCCAAAGCTGAGGGGAAAAAATGGGAATTTGTTTGTAACATTAGCCTATATATATATTTATGGGCGCCATAAATATAATTACTCCCTGATATATTTTAAAAAAAAGGGAAATTATAGCCCAACAGTTGTCCCGTACTACTTCCAATCCTATATAAATAGTTACGCTAACGCTTTAATATTATGAGAACATTGTTAAATATTGTTGGTGCCATTCTAATCACAATAATATATTTTACCAATTCAAATTGAACCTATAACAATAGTATGATACATTTGTAATGAATGTCTTAACCTTTGTGGACTATGGTTATCAAATAAATTGACACATGCATGAAAAGCTAACATATTAAAGTCATGAATAGAAATAAGTAAAGACTTTAATTTCTCAGTTACAGGAAGAGATAGTCATTTCTGTTCTAAACAATCCAACGGATGTCATGAACTACATGTGCGTTTCAAAAATGATCCAATGGTTAAGTTTTAAAGGGTGATGTGTCTCAATGCATGTTGAGCTTTTGGTCCCAAACAGAAGCCCCAAACTCTTCCAAAAAAAATCACTCATTCTCCTCTCCTTAAATCTCCTTCTCCACAAATCAAAGCGGCCATCGCTCCTAATCGCCGAGTTCGTACACTAGGAGGAGGTATATACTATGGTGAGGGAAAGAGGAGGATATGACTCCTATTATACTAGTATCAGTATAGAAATTATTCGGCTTTTCCTAGTGGACCGATTTTCGCTAAAAAAAACACTGATGTTGGGAGGGGTGGTTTTTTTAAATGGAGAGGTACTATGTGACCCTGAAATAATTGAGAAAAGAAAAGGAAGAAGAGCAGGAGTTGGGCCACGTTAAGATAATCGGGTCTTGGGTTGCTTTGTGTTGAGAAGCTAGCTAACGTGCATGCAGTAGCAGTTGTAGGGCAGCGAATGAAACAAGTCCACTTTGACTCCCTAAATATAGGTCCAATCTAATTTGTATCCTTAAAATGTAATATTAGATATCTTAACACCCCAACTATTAAAATTGGTGTAATTTCACTTGGTTTTGAGAGTAGTTTTTCTCATGTGGCACATTAACCTAGTCTAACCGACTAAGTCCGCATGTGAGGCCCGCCAGTTGTCCCTTCCTTTTCCTCCTTCGCTCTTCTCTGTTTATTTCTCCACTCCTCCCTTATGCGGCAGTTAGGAGAAGCCGATAGGATTCCCCACCGTCTTTTCAACAGATGGCAGCTAGCAAAAGCAAGGCGACATCAATGAAGGAGATGGATGGCAGACATCGCCAAGTGCCTCCTCTGCACGCACCGCCTCACCGCTTGGGCCAAGCTTTAATTTGCCACCGGGCGCCCACGTGGCTCGGGAAGGAAAAGATAGAGAGCGTCATGGAGTGGCCACGCTCCTCGTCATTGCTATGACTTTACTACACTACTACGAAAACTTTTTAGTGGCGGCCATTTTGGATTTTCGCTGGCGGAATTTGCAGTCGTCACAAAGCAAAGGCCAGCAAAAATCCATTTGGCTACTCATTTCCAAATTCAAACACAATACAAAATTATCATTAGCACAAATGTACACAGATCAAACATCACAACATGCACAGAACAAATGTACACAAATCAAACATCACAACATTCATCAGGAAACATGCAAAAAAAAAAAATTCGTGCCGTCGCCGGTCTCTTGTCGTCGCCACCTCACTGCCGCCGTGGGGAGGGAGGAGGCGCCGGATCCGCTCCCCGCCGCCCCCTCCCCCGCCGCCGTGTCGGTGTCGGCAGCAGATCCGGCCACCCCCGTCGTCGCGGCGGCCGGATCCGGCCTCCCCTGTCGTGGCAGCTACGGATCAGGCCTCCCCCAGCCGCCACCTCCAGGCCCCTTCGTCGTCGTCGCCCGCCGGCCTCCCCCGTCGTCGAGGAGGCGGATCCGGCCTCCCCCAACCGCCGCCGTCAGGCCCCTTCGTCGTCGTCGCCCGCCGGCCTGCCCCGTCGTCGAGGAGGCTGATCCGGCCTCCCCCGTCGTCGCGGCGGCCGGATCCGGCCTCCCTCGTCGTCGCGTGGCCCGCGGCGGAGAGGTGGAGGCCGTGCCCCGCCGCCGCTCCCGAGGCCCTCCCCGTTGAGCAGTGAGGCGGCGGAGCTGTGGCGACGGGAGCCGGCGGTAGGGAGGGAGGAGAAGGGAGAAGGGAGGGAGGAGAAGGGGGAGGAGAAGGATAAGGACGGAGTACTCAGCGCGGGCGGTGGATTTTTATTGGCCTCAATTTTTTTTGAAGCGGTCTTCGCTACCTGCCGAAAATCACGTTTTCGCTGGCGGACACCTAAGAGGTCCGCCTCGAAAAATAGAGTTTTTTTTATGGCGGACCTCTTAGCGTGGCCGCCAACGAAAGTCGGTTTTCGCTGGCGGTCCATGGCTCCCCACTCCTCGATATATTTTTGCTGTCGGTTTTCGCGTATGGCCGCCGGCTAAAATAATATGCCAACCGCATGAAAAATCATTTTTCTAGTAGTGCTTATAGGAACGGTGGCGGAAAAGAAAGGGGAGAGCACAGTGAAGATGCGGCAGGGCTGACGGTGCTCATGCTAGCTAAGCGGAGATGAACAACGCCGGTGATGAGGATTGAGGATGGGTCAAGGAAGAGAGTCGGGACTCACTAGTAGGTGGATGAGAAGCACCTGTATCACCCCTCCTTCCTTTCGCCTCCCGCTCCATGTCCTCGACCGCCGTAGGTGCCTCAGCGTCGAGCTCCATGACGGCGCAACCTTGCTGGCGGCGAGCTCTGGTGGTAGAGTTGGTAGTAGTGGCTCGTCGGGGAGTGGTGCTTGGAGTACTACCGCTCATCTACCACCTTCCGTCGCCCTACTACATCCCACCACTGCACTGTTGGCATTCTGCCACCGAGAGGAAATATTGGAGAGGGAGAGGAGTGGTAAAGGAAGAGAAGAAATAGAAGGGTCACTGACATGTGGGCCCCACATGCTAACTTAATTTGTTGGACTAGGTCAACATGCCACGTCAGCAATAACGGCTCTCAAAATTATCGAGGGAGTTAAATTACACTAGTTTTAATAGGTAAAGAGTCAAGACGTCTGCTATTGTGTTTTAGGAATACAAATCGGATTACCTATACTTGAGGGAGTCAAAGTGTACTTTACTCCCTAACAAATAGAGTAGCCAGGCTTTGGGCTAGCTTGGGCCAATTAGTGAGCAGCAGCAGTACATCGAGCAAAGCAATTAGCAGCACTGTAGCAAGCAATAATACGCCACCTCACCAAACTAGCTGGAGTAGTAGTTTATAAGGATAGATGCCCATTGACTAGCAATACCGAGTTTAATTTCAACTTTTTGTATGTGCGAAGTGGACGAAAGCACAGTCAATAGCTTACATGCATACAACGAATAACACATTAGATATGCCAAACAATAGAGATACAACACATACATCGTTCTCACATAAATCCATCGATCGATCTCTCACACAGTCACAGTACTCCTCTCACATCTCACAACTTTCATTTATTCTGCACCAACAAGCTGACCTGGGAAATCAACCATGCAAGAACCAAAAGAATTAACCATGCCATGAAATCAAACAAAAAAGCAAGTGTCGATATTGATGGAATGGACGAATTAATTAATTCAGCTGTGATATGCCGGCCGGAGGGCTGGGAGACGGCGCCGCAGCTCCGCCACCGTTCGCCGCGCCACCACCGTTCGCCGGCGTCGGCTTCGGCAACGGCGTCGGCTTGGGGCCTTGGGGTCTCTTGTGGAAGTAGTCGAAGAAGGGGCACAGGAACGCCGAGTTGCACTCCGCCGACGACGAGTAGCGCATCCTCTTGCCGGCGACGGCGACGAAGGTGTTAGCCTTATCACCGCCGTTGTCCGTTGTTGACGACAGCGGCACGATCTTGGACGGCTCCTGCCCGGGGCACGGCGTGCTGCTCTCCGCGCTGTGCAGCTGCGCAAAGCAGTCGGCGGCGCCGTGGAGGTCGTCGGCGGCGAGGGGCACGCTGAAGGCGCCGTCGCCGTCGAGGTCGCCGACGGCCTTGCTCTCGTACTCGCCGTCGCCGTTCCTGCACTTGATCGCCACCTGGAGACCTGAACATCACCAAACAATTAATCGACGACGGTGATATATCGATCGCAATTAATTATCGATGAACATATTATCAATTTATCATCATCATTATGATATATATACCCTTGAAAGCATCCTGCGCCTTCATGTTCTTCCTGGAGCAGCCACCGCACTTGGCCAAGCCGACGACGACCGCCGCCGCCGCCTCGCCGTCCGCCGCGGCGGTGACAGCCATCACGACGGCGGCGCAGACGACGACGGCGCCGAGGACTAGTGCTCGTGCTACCGCTGCCATTGCTGAATCGATCCTAGCAAACTCTACCGCTTCTACTCGTTGCTGATCAGTGGATGAGCAAGAAGCAGATCAACCATGCGTTTATATATGATCATGCAGACGAAGATCGATCGAGCAGAAGCTGGATACTAGTACACAATTAGCATTTGGCGCCGAATTTGCTGGTTTAAAATGAATTAATTAACGCCGTACATTATTTGATGATTTTGATCAGGAACCAGCTTAGCTGCATCGATCGATTAAGAAGAGTAGCATGCATGCACACGGGCACTGTGTACGTAATGCTTCCCATTGGTGGTGTTTAGCAAGCAAAGGTAAAGCTTTAATTAAGTACTCGCCTGTCTCTAGTTAGGTGAATGCAAAGCTAGTACTGTAGTACTAGTTTGTTTTTATGAAAAAGGGAAATAGTAATAGCTTGCTGCCTGCACAGCCAAAGTACTGCATGATTGAATTGTTCTTAATCTGTTTGTTTTCATTTGGCTTTTGGACCATTATTATATATATTACCAGGTTTTGTCTGTACATATAGATGTGATGTTAGGCTAGTTTGTTTTCTACAAACAAAAAAAATTATGTTATAGATATTTAATATCTCTTTAAGAGATACGCCTTTAACCATATGTTTCTATTTATTAGTATAATAATGATCTTGTAAATTATGAGATCAAAATTATACTAATAAATAAAAGAATTATGGCAAAAACCAGCCGTATCTAAGTGGTTGTTGAAAGAAGGGACACAAGTTTTTTAAGTGAAAAAGTTTCAAATGTATCTATAACATATAATTGAAACACAGTTACACCATAACAATACTATAACTATATTATAACTTTCATATAACTTGTCTATAAGTATTAAAAAAACATGTAAATTCACATACAAGTTAATTATATAGAGATTCATAGTTATAGTGTAACTACATTTTTTTTACCAGGTATAGTGTAACTACATTACAATTATACAATAGTTAGGATATAGTTACATTGTGGTTACATACAATTACACCGTAACAATACTATAACTACATTATAACTTTCATATAACTTGTATATAATTATTTAAAAAACTGCACCTAAATTCACATAGGTAGGTTGGATTGATGGGGACATCGGGTCCTCTGAGGGGAGAAGTATGTGACATACAGGGCCAATTAGGATATACCCTATGTTATCCATGAGAGCTATGTGTATGTTTACTACCACATTACTACCACATTACTAGTTTAGTAAGGGTAAAACCAACTTATAAGGGTTTGTCGCTCTAGCCATATCACTCTCGGGTTTACCCCTTTACACGAAACAATAACGGAACCGTAAGTGAGGTGGTATGTGTAAGTGGGTCGTCCATCCATCGGATGGCCTAGACTGCGTGGTTCTGTAGAGACAGTTGTTACACATCATTTGGATAAATAATTTACCAAAAGTCCATGATTGAACACAACCACACAGGTTCCAGGTTTCCAACTTCGAACTGATCAACCTATATTCCAACTTCGAACTGATCAACAATAGGTTGTAATTAAAGTACATAGGTTCATTATAATAATCCATACTTCAATACATCAACATTTAGCATAACTAGTAAAACTGCAAAGCAGAAAGGGCACATGTCCATCATTTTTCATCGAGCACAATTACATATAATAATTCATACTTCAATACATCAACATTCACTAGAACGGATACCCTCATCTCAATCGGGCGGTAAGCCCCTTCTCAATCGGGCATGACGTCCGTCACAGGCTAGAAGTCACTGATGTGAAGAGTTATCTCAATCGGGCAAACGGCCGTTACGGATGAATCTATCTCAATCGGGACCTAAGTAAAGCCCGTCACCGATAGCTTTGACCCAGACGACCAGTCAAACTATAGCCCGTCACAGATGACCTATCTCAATCGGGCCACAACTAGCGCCCATCACAGATGACCCTTATCTATGACGGGCACTAATTATAGCCCATCACAGATGATAGTTAATGCCCGTTACAGATGAGTATAATCCAAAAATAAATACATTTTATTTTTGGCTAGCCCTCACTCGTGGGAAGTGCAAACTTCTCGGTCGGTCACCCATCCCGAAATTGCTCTAGACTAAGCACGCTTAACATCAAAGGTCGGTCACCCATCCCCAAATTGTTCCAGACCAAGCAAGCTTAACATCAAAGTTCAAGCAAGCTTAACATCAAAGTTCTTTGGAGATTGGCTTCCGGAAAAGTAGTTGTAACTTATTGGTATGAGTATTCTATTAATCCTATTAAGCCCTATGCCAGGATATCAAATTGGGGTTATTAAATGATTTCAAATGGAAAAGTCACCAAAACCAAAGTTGTAAAACTCATCGAGGTGCAAAATTTTTATTTTGGTCATTTCTCCATCTGACTCTATTTAAACAATTTGAAATTTGAAATTCAAAGTTTGAAAAGTTCAAATAGAATTTTAGATCAGTGAACGACTTCAACTGAAAAAGCCATCAACAACAAAGGTGTATAACTCATCAAAATCTATAACTTTTATTTTGGTCATTTTTCTATATAACATTTTTTGAACCATTTGAATTTGAATTTGAAAATATGACAACTTCAAACAGCATTTTCAAATACTATATGATATCAACTTAAAAAGTCATCAACAACAAAGTTGAATAACTCATCAGGATCTAAAACTTTTATTTTGGTCATTTCTTCATACAACAAAGTGATAGTAACATTGTTCACAAAATTGACATATCTCTTATCTGATTCTTTTATAAACTATAACACATATATGTAAAATTTGTGAATAATATTACTAACATTTTGTCGGATGAAGAAATAACAAAAATAAAAGTTTTAGGTATTGATGAGTTATTCAACTTTGTTGTTGATGACTTTTTCAATTGAAATCATTTAGTATTTGAAAATGTTGTTTGAAGTTGTCATATTTTTAAATTCAAATTCAAACTGTTCAAAAAAAATATTATATTGAAAAATGACCAAACTAAAAGTTGTAAATCTTGATAAGTTATATAACTTTGTTGTTGAAATTTTTTCCATTTGAAATCATTTACTACCCGTAAAATTATTTTGACTCATAAAATGAATTATTATACTACACTTAATTATTTTGCTATAGTCAACTTACAAATATAAACATTTCATATGAAAAATAGAAAAATAGTCATCGGTGACGGGCTTTAGTTAATGCCCGATAGAGATTAAGTATATAGCCCGTCACTAATGAGTCATCTGTGACGGGCCTTGTGACGGGCCTAGTTGTTATCTCAAACGGGCCTCAAGTTGGTGCACGTCACGGATGATGGTCATCTGTGACGGGCCACAACTTGAGGCCCGTTTGAGATATGGAATGTTATTTCAATCGGGCCTAAAGTTGGTGCCCGTCACAGATGAAGATATGGAATGTTATCTCAATCGGGCCTAAACTACGGCCCGTCACTGATAGGTGTCATCCGTGACGGGCTTAAATTTTATGCCCATCTAATATGTCTGTGCGACCATATCTCAATCGGGCACTTTTCGGCCCGATTGAGATGACTTCCTTGTGACGGCCTGCTATTTCTAAGCATATTAGAGCCCGTCACAAATAGAAGGATCTATACTAGTGATTTAGAATAACTAGTAAAATTGCAAGGCAGAAAGGGCACATGTCCATCATTTTTCATCCAGCACAATTACACATAAATACAAGTAGCTTGACTGAAGCTAAAATAGAGTGAAGTTTAGAAGCAGCTTCACTTTCTCCCACCCCCCATGCACCCCTTCCCTTGTAAGTGTGCGGAGCCTTGTGCAAGCCCAGCTTGCACAGACAATGGCCTGGGCTCCACCAGCTGCACGCATCAATTCACCAGTGCCTAATTACCTTAGTAATCACTTTTCTTAGTCACCGGCAAGGCAGTACAATGCAACTAGTACAATCGCAAACTCGCTCAACACAAACTTTTAAAACAAATGTTCATATTGAAGTTATCTATGATCAAATTATATAGGCTTGTATATACCTCATTTGTTGTTAGACTTGCCCAGGCTCATGAAAATTTTTGAATCCGCCACTGCTTTTAACCTGCATGTAGAGAAATTAGTAAAGTGATATGTTGGATTTCTTTCTCTTTTGCTTTTTTGAAATGTTTCATATCGAAAGTGGAATACAGATTGCAGAGTATAATATATTGGGTCAAAATAAGAAACTTACTAGCTGTACATTGTTAATCTAAGTTGCTAAGTGCCTACATTGAATATAAACTATACTTATACTTACTAGTTTCTTGCCACCACACAATGGGGGAACTCCACTATTTCAATGTCATAATCTCCATCTTCTCCATGTAAAACCAGTCCAAAATAAGCAATTTATACAAAGACTTGACAAAGATAAGCAAAAAATAAGCATTACAATATATTACATACACAAGAAGGTGCAGTATTGTCATTTTTTGAGGTTCTTATCCAACTTGATGCATAAACCAAAGCATGAACCATGTCTCGCTTCAAAAAACTCCTGTAATAATCAAGAATTCTTCATCCAATGCTAAAAGTGGACTCTGATGATACAATACTAGCTGGAATAGTCAAGAACCTTCTTGCCTTGGACACAATAGGAAACCATGAGAGTGAGAAGGGGTCAAAAGGGGATCAAGAGCTAGGCTTTTGATGTTCTAGGGCCTTATAAGAATATGGGTTGTGACTTGCTGAGCTGTGGGCTACTCTAGCTCGTAAAACACACATTCCAGTTCGAGCTGGCACGTTACCCGTAACGAGCTAAAATACCAGCTCCATTTGCAGATCTAGGGGTGGTCCCAGGACCACCCAAAAAAATCCTAGCCCAATACATATATACACATGTGAAAAGAGAAAAAACAACCTAGAATACCTGGATATGGCAGTCAAGTGGCATATCCATATCAGATACGTGAACAGATATGGATACGTTTCCATATGTGCCGATACGTACGGGATACGTATCCAACAATTTCGTAATTTCCAAATAAATAAAACAAACCCTGATACGTCGCTGATACGTTTTACGCCCACCTCCGAATCCCTTTCCAAGCGCAGGGCTGCCGCCGCCAGACACAACACCCGCACCCATCGTGCATCATGCCCTGCCTGGCCGCCGGGGCCAAGACCGTCTTCCTTGTGCTCTCGCTCGAGGCACAGCATCCCCACACGATTACAGGCTTGTAGCGCCGCCGCCACCAATGCCGATGAACAGCGCGCTGCTACCACCAACGCCGATGAATGTAGCTCCACTGCAGTGATTCATTTAGCAGTCATCCGATGGATCTGAAATCTAAGTTTCAGAGCTAGTGCATCCATGCATCCAATGCTCCTATGTTGAGTTGTGATCCAAATTTGTTTGCACATAATAAAGGCCAGCTTCTGCTGGAGCGAAGCGGAGGCCGTTTGAAGCCGGAGGCTTGGGCCGGAGTGAAAAATATCTTCACTATTCGTTATCCTTTTAAGGTTTCACCTTCATATATATACCTCCTGTAAGCCACCATTTAGCGTCGTAACTTCACCCCGATATAATGAAGATATTTTGCTGGCTGGCGCCCGCAGTTTTTTTTCTCCTGCTTTGGGAGGGTTTTCCACGTTAAATCTAGTGTCTTCTGTGATTGATCTGTTGTTTTTTATCGTTTATTTGCCTATCGTTTCCTAACATCCTACCCTCGAAGAACTAGTGCAGCTGCTAGATAATAATGAAAAGAAGCCTCGGTGGATTGTGGCAGTCTGGCAGACAAGAGCGGGTATAGGAGAAAGCACATTGATTTTTCTGTGAATAATCAGCAGGTAGCAGTCCGCAAGTTTATTAATTTTTCTGTGAATGCATTGGTTTTCACAATATGTTAAGAGAGTTTATTAGTTTTTAATTTTTTATTACATATATAGACGTATCCCCGTATATATGTTTCTTGAAAAATGCCGTATCCCCGTATCGCGTATCCGTATATATCCTCGTATCCGGGTAACATAAAAAACAACTCCCAGTCACTGGTAGAGAAACCATCTTTGGTCGGTCGACCCAAATCCACAATAGTCCCGGTTCCATTAAAAACCGGGACTAAAAATGATTTTTCATTTTTAGTCCCGGTTTATGAGAGAAAGATCTTTAGTCCCAGTTGTTGTTACCAACCGGGACTAAAAATCATCTTGAGTCCCGGTTCATAACTCTAACCGGGACTAAAGTTCATCTTTAGTCCTAGTTGATTCCATGTCAGGACGTGTCAGGGCCCTAAAATCTTTAGTCTCGGTTAGTAACACCAACCGGGACTAAAAATCTATTTTTAGTTCTGATTGATGTTACTAACCGGGAATAAAAATCAAAGCATACTATATAATCCCTAGTACCGATCCTCTTTTCCCGTCCATACAACAAACTCCTTACTCTATCTCTTTTTTCCTTCTAACTTCTTATCTCTTTCCTTATCTCTAACTCCTAGCCTTCTTCTCTTTCCTTTTTTCCTTCCATTCACAGCTAGCGAAGAAGAGGGCGCGCGGGCGGGCCAGCGGCCGGCGCAGCGGCGCGGCGGCAGCCGGCCGGCGCGGATGGGAGGCGGCCGTGGCCGGCCAGCTTTTTTTTTTTTTTACAATTTATGATTTATCCTGTGATGTATTCGATTTGTGTGTGATCCGAATCTGTGATGTATTTTTTTAGAACTTGTGATGTAATTTTTTTAAGAGTTTGTGATGTATTTGGAGATGATATATTTGAGAATTTGGGGATGTTTTGTGATATGTGATGATTTGGATTTGGGATTTCTTGATAGGGGATGGTGTGAAATCAATATTCAATACTAAAAACAATGAAAAAGAGAGAAAAAAAAGAAAAAATATCTTTAGTCCCGGATTCGTAGTCCTGGTTGGAAAACCGGGACTAAGGGGGGTTACAAACGGGACTAAAAAACACTTCTCCACCAGTGCTTATTACTATATTATGATGCACCTTTGATCAATTTATACTTGTAACTCTTGTTATATCTATGAGATATATATATATATATATACACACACACATACATACATATATACATATATATATACATACATATATATATATATATACATATATACATATATACATATATATACATATATATATATATATACATATATATATATATATATATATATATATATATATATATATATATATATATATCACCTATATAGAAATCTTGCATATGCCATTGGCCAGCTTTGCTCATTAGAAAAATGAAATTAGCCAAGGAAGCAAACGAGCCATAAGCTTCAGGTCCATCCTATGTCAGAGTCGTGCATGCAGGCAGATATGCTAGCTGGAATGTACTAGGTTGCTTAGGTGGATTCGATCGAAGGAAGGGATTTTTTTTCCCATTATATAGATAAGATGCGCACCGTCACCACATGCACACACATCATACTCACACACTCATGACTATGTTCTTTTTTAACATACGGTAAAAGAGACGGAGACAAACAACAACAATTTACTTAAACTTCTGCAGGCTACTATTTCTGCAAATAATTTGTTATATATTTATCGATAAATTTTTTAAAAAAATTTGACATATGTAATTGTTATGTAGTGTAGTTACATTGTAACTTGTATGTAATTACAATGTAACTTTTACATCATTTTAAATTGTTAGATTCGTTTCAAGATTCGTGCAAGCGAAAAAATTACAGTGCATGCACATGTGAGAGGATTCACTCCTATGATGTCCATTTTATGGAAATAGCATGTTTCGAAGGGATTTTTAAAAGTTACATACAAGTTATATTGTAGTTACATGAAAGTTATGATGGAAATTACACCACGATTGTATTAAAATTATATTTATTAAATCGTTGGAAGAAAATTTATCGATAAATATATATGTGATCCCTTCTGCCAAATACTAGTAGGCATGTATATGCCGACAAATTTAAACATCAAATGATTCAAGAGCCAAATTAACCCACACAATATATATAAGAAAGAACAATAGAATCTTAATCATGCAATTTGGTTGAAGCTGTCCTATACTATTATCCTTTTCTATAAAACAGATTAGTAGTACTATGCTCTGCAGGAGTACTACTCGATTAAAGCATAACTTTGCTTGCTAAACACACACCACCGATGGGAAACAACAGAGCATCAAGGGTGAAACACTGCATATGCAATGTGCACGTTCACAGTGCACTACTCTTAAATCGATCAAATGTACGGCGTTAATGATTTTAAACCTGCAAATTGGGCGCAAATTGCTGATCATGTTGTAATATAATTAGCTTTTTCTTTCGAGGGAACGTAATATGATTAACTGACGCCTATATAAACCATGCATGGCCTCTGCTGCTTCTTCCCTCATCGACACAGCAGTAAGATACTCCAAATATCAAGGAGGAGTTTGCTAGGATTCATTCAGCAATGGCAGCTGTAGCACGAGCACTAGTCCTCGGCGCCGTCGTCGTCTGCGCCGCCCTCGTGATGGCTGTCACCGCCGCTGCGGACGGCGAGGCGGCGGTGGCGCTCGTCGTCGGCTTGGCCAAGTGCGGCGGCTGCTCCAGGAAGAACATCAAGGCGCAGGATGCTTTCAAGGGTATATATATCATGCATGATGATGATAATATGTTCATCGATAATTAATTGCGATCGATATATCACCGTCGTTGATTAATTGTTTGGTGATGTTCAGGTCTCCAGGTGGCGATCAAGTGCAAGAACAGCGACGGCGAGTACGAGAGCAAGGCCGTCGGCGACCTCGACGGCGACGGCGCCTTCAGCGTGCCCCTCGCCGCCGACGACCTCCACGGCGCCGCCGGCTGCTTCGCGCAGCTGCACAGCGCGGCGAGCAGCGCGCCGTGCCCCGGGCAGGAGCCGTCCAAGATCGTGCCGCTGCCATCAACGACGGACAACGGCGGCAATAAGGCTAACACCTTCGTCGCCGTCGCCGGCAAGAGGATGCACTACTCGTCGTCGGCGGAGTGCACCTCGGCGTTCCTGTGCCCCTTCTTCGACTATTTCTACAACAGACCCCAAGGCCCCAAGCCGACGCCGGCGAACGGTGGTGGCGCGGCAAACGGTGGCGGAGCTGCGGCGCCGGCTCCCAGCCCTCCGGCCGGCATATCACAGCTGAATTTTTAATTCATCCATTCCATCAATATCCACACTTGCTTTTTTGTTTGATTTCATGGCTTGGTTAATCCTTTTGGTTCTTGCATGATTAATTTCCAGGTCAGCTTGTTGGTGCAGAATAATAAAAGTTGTGAGATGTGAGAGGAGAGTGTGACTGTGTGAGATCGATCGATCGATGTGTGTGAGAATAAAATTAAGTTCGTGCAGAAGTGCTTGTGTAGTACCTCCATTTATTGGCATATCTAATACACTAGTAATAATATGTCCGTGCTAACGCAACGGTGATAATTTTGATTGAAACGCAACGGTGATAATTGATAATGTAAAAGGCAAAAGGTAATATTTAAGATTCACGAATAAAATAACGATAGAGAGATTTGTATTGTTCTCATGAATGTTATTACACTGTTAATAACTTCCCAAAATTGGCCATGAATAGAGTTCTGCAATATTTTCATCACTGTGAGTGAAACTTTTCAAAACACAAACAATAGCTCATGGTATCTAACTTTCTATACCACATATACAAATATTACCTGCACGTTCTACAGGTGCTATTTTTTCAAAACATGCATCGCCTGGAAACATTCAGCAACTTCTGCTCCTCACTGGTCACCTTCCTCCTTATAGAGCACCTCAAGAAGCCACATAAACTTCTCTATCGAACGCATATCAGGAGAAGCACCATATTGAAGACAGTGTATTCGCCTACCACGAGGCACACGCTTATAAAGATATATTCATCACTTAGCATTAGTAATTTAACTCCCAAAATATTTGGAAAAACATCCCGGTTTCTACTAAGGCAAAAATATGTAGCAAAGCAAATATATAGGCATTAAGCATTTAATAGCAAATGATAATAAATTATTTATTTTAACTGAAAGCGCTAGGCTTTTACATGGCTGCAATTTTGTTCGTGTAAATGAGTTGAAAAAGGTAAAATGGACATGAATACTATGTTAAATCTGCAGATAAACTTTTCGGATCATGGAAATGCATTTGTCAAATTTCATATGTTCAGATCAAATTTCATTATACCCTGCGAATACACAGGACGCATAAATCATCAATATTGCACAGCACCAAGAGCTAGGCACCACGGAAAGCAGTCCAAAAAAACCATAGGATGCATGCAACATTTCAGGAAAATTAAGAATGATATGATGTGGTTCAGGAGAAGGAGAAGGAGAATAATTCTCACTCATATTCTTGTAAACTATTTAATTCTGATATATAAGAAAAAATACTGAAGGAACATAAAGAGAATAAAATCCAGTATCAACAAACACTTTTGAAAGTGCAGTGTGACAGTAGAATTCTTCTGTTTGACCTTTTTTCAGTGAATAGTTTCAGCATATTTGGTTCAATTTTAAATGAACAACAATAGTCAGGAAACCTATTCATCTAGATCATAGCATTTTATAAACCTGCTGCGATCTCTCTAGAATCTCCCATCCAAGAAACTCTAAGCAATTAAACGTTCCTCTTCCCTGCCACTCACCAGCGATTCTCAGCCTAGCTTCTCCTGCGGTTGTAGAAGACAATCCAACGCATAATCACACACGAAAGGAACAAACAGCACCTAAGAATTCCAGATATACAGAACAGGTTGCATGTAATAATGTCGAGCACGCAACAAATTCTCCACAAATTGGATCAAGAAAGAGAGCAGGGAAAATAATGGAAAGGACCGGACCTACGCACTCGGCGGGGGGAGCAGATCCATCTCCCACCGCCTGACGTCCTCCGCCATCGAGAGGATCCAAACTTGCACGGTTGGAGGGGCTGCGTAGCAAGACCGAGGACGGCATTTGGGCACGAGAAAGACGATCTGTCCTACCAAAAAAGGAGTATTTGGTTGAGATTAGCTTTGTTAGAAATGAAAAGACAAATAAGATAAGCAAGATGATCTTGATTTTAGCTGCTAGAATTAAGGCCATGTAATAACAAATAGAAGAATTTCGAAAAATTAAATGATTTTTCCATTCAATCTAACAGTGTTTTGACTTTGTGATTCCTTCATATGGAAGGGCAGCCAATTTGTAACAAAGGCAGAAACTGGGACTATCATATCGTAAAAAATTTCTAAACTAGTGCATAATCTCGGAAGTGAAGCCTAACCTATTTTCCTTAACAGCTAAACACATTTGAAACAAAGGCAGAAGCTGAGACACCTGAACAGAACAATTTGTTAAGCTATTTCTAAATCTAGCAAATCAAATCAAAACTTTGGAGCTGCATTAGTTTGACTACAAATAAGCGTGCAGATCGATGCGTGAGACCCTGGGGTGCAGTGGCGATCGAACCTGAAATCTACTTCTCTTTTTTTTTCTGCAATGTCCCCTGTGCCGGTATGAAGTATGAACATGTGTGCCGACGTTCACCTATACAGCTCCAGCAATCATGTGCCATCATTTTTATTGATGGAAGAGTAGAAAAAAATCTAATACCATGGGAGATTGATTTATTGCAAGGAGCAGGGTAATCTGGAGATGGCAAATCACAATAGAAAATAATTCAACTTACCAGCCGTGACCAGATGAATTTCCAGCCACTATAGGAGCATCTCCAAACCTCCAATTCTGATATTTTGGCTATGATTATAGGTCTCGAGCAAGCAAACTGATGTTGCAATGATTTTAGCTTCATGGAAAAAAAATTGGGGACAGATCAGCAGCATGCTAAATATGCCATCAATAAAAAAGTTACTTAACAGGATTTACAAAATCATCAGAGAGCCATGATCTGACTCTATCCCTCCTAAGGTTGTGCTCCTGCAGAACAAAAAAGAGGCAATAAGCAAGTTTCACCAACAAAATGCGTGAAACGAATAATAACTCATTACACAGATTTCAGTTGGCAACTAAACATTGAAGTTTCCGGGATATAATTTAGGGGAAAACTTACTGCTAGCATATGGGAATTTACCTGTTCAATATGCCAGTTAGCGAGCCATAGCTTCTGGTCCATTCCTGCTCAACTCTATGATCTTGCTGCATGCACCAAAACAAAGCAAAAATCGAGTCAAACCAAGAGCACATAGCATCAAAAGCCCCAGCCACTCAAAGCCTCAACAGAAGGGATGAACTGATGCAAGGAATCAAGTTCAGGGACGTACTCCCTCTCCTCAAGAGCAATCTCATGAGGAGATCGGGATTAACAGAGAGAGATGGGATCTTTCCTTGACCAGCTGCGCGATTCCCTCCTTGCCCGCATCCACCGCACACACCGGTCCGGCAGGGTCCATGGGTGTACCTCCTCATTACAGCCCCGACCTTGGATATCGATCTCATGCCATTCATAGCCATCCTCCCGGTGCAGCGGCGCCGGCCGCCTCCGCCTCCACCGCTGGCAGTGCCAGGATGGCGACCTGGTGGGGAGCAAAGACGGTGGCCTCCATGGTGGCTCGTCTCAATGGAGGAGGTGCGGTGGCATCCGTAACCCGTAGTGCTGGGGGCGGGGTAGGGTTTGGGGATTTGGAGCGGCGGCGCGGCGGCGATAGGCGAGGGGCAGGGGCATGCCGGCGGTGGGGTAGTGTTTGGTGATTGGGTACGGCGGCGATTGGCGAGGGGCAAGAATCGCGGCGGCGATGGGTGAGGGGAACGGGCGAGAATAGCGGTGCGCGAGAGAGAAGGGGGCGCGTGAGAACAGGAGTTAGCGAGAGAGAGAGAAGGCGCGTCCGCGCGTGGGCGTGACCGCGTGGGGGAGGAGCGCGGAGGGGAGGGGGTCTCATCTGGCACGTTCGATCACAGTTAGATGAATATGAGCCATTGGATTTGATGAATGAGTAATGTAGGTGTAAGAGTGAGTTGGTGAATTATAGGGTAGATTATGCATTGTATGCATATAAGCTATTCCTCCTTCACTGTGCAACATTATTAAACATAATATAATTTAAGTATTTTACGAAAGGGAAAATAGCTTCTTTTATCTACTATAAAAAAATACCCGTGTGTTGCAATGGGTGAAGTTATGTTAATCTTATTATTGTTATAGGTTTAACTAAGGTAAAATTCATTGTGCGATTTTGCTCGATTTTCTTTTTTATAAAATCATGACCCGCAGTTAGGAGTCTGATTTTCTCAAGTTTCATGCAAGTTTTTTTAAAGAGATTTCTTATACAACTCCTTTTGTATTCTCAAAAGCGAATAAACTTAAAAACCGACTAAAACACGAATGACGTATCAAAGTACCGGCAAAAACATCTTCAATTTTTATAATAGTAGAGAAGTGCGTCAGGCCACGTCGTACCCCTCCCACTTGCTGTACCATCGGCCTAGGCACGATCCAATATGACTCGTGCTGTGCCGGACCAGCCTGAATGCATGAAGGCCCACCGTGCTCAACCTTGGAAAAAAATTATATTTTGCGTTCCTCATCTATTTGGGCCATTGGCTAGATTAAGTCTATTTTGCGCCGCAGCTATTTGTGCCATATATACCTTATATAGCCGGAATAAGTTTATTTTGGCTCGCTCATCTATTTAACTCCTTGATTGTTGGACCGGACCATGCCAAACTGGCCCATCGTGCCGAGGAAGAGGCCCACGCAAGGGCCCGACACTGCCAGTCGGACCGTGCCATGTTTAGGCTGGGCCAAAACCCCATACTATGGGCCGAGCCATTGGACCCCGGGCCTTTCGGCCAACTATAAGTGCTACTGCTACGTCTTGTCCTGCCCGCGTGCTGAAACATGGATGGGCCATGCATGTAGGTCTCCTGGGCCTGTGGGCAAGATGCACCAGCATCTTGTGCGCTACACGCATGCATGCTTGCAATCCATCACATCAACCTGAACCCAAATCCACTGTACGTGCATACGCTGATATATATGCATGGATAATTGGATATGCACTTGTCTACATATATTAGCCTATTGCAAATAAAAACTTAAAATAACTTACTACTGGCTTTTTTTATCTTTGGGTATATATTCCACGTGTGATCAATCGTTTATAATACGGAATTGGAACGAGATATACTCCCTCCGTACTCGTAAAGGAAGTCGTTTTGGACAATATTTAAGTCAAACATTAGGAATATAAATCATGAATAACCCTTAAGTTGTTGAGTTTGAAGATGTAAAAATTATATGAATAGATTTATCTTGAAAAATACTTTCATAAAAGTATACATATATCACTTTTCAATAAATATTTTATAAAAATAAAAAGTTAAAGTTATGTTTTGGAGACCGTATCGCTGTCCAAAACGACTTCCTTTACGAGTACTGAGTAGTATATATCTATAAAACTATTACTCCCTCCATTCCATTTTAAGTTACATAGACTTTGAACAAACCTAAAATGATAAAACAACAAAAAGGATTAAAATGCATAGAGTACATTAAAAAGGTTTAAGTCCATTTAACCCCGCCAAGATTGTATTAGTCTAAAATATACCCCTTAACTTTAATATCGGGTATTACAGACTCCTCAACTTTTGAAACCGTTTAATTTATTCCCTTGTCCAAAACTAAAGAGTAAATTTCAGAAAACTCCATATTGTATGATTAAAGTTGTGGAAACCATATGTATTAATTATGATGTGTGGCACACCACAAGATTTATGGTCTCCATGTTTCATAAAACCCCATCTTTATTTAAATCTTAATAAATTTCAGCATATCTAAATAAAATTTTGAAAGTACAGTAAAGCTTCTATCAATCTAGTCAATAACTTAATAATTAAATTTTCATTTGCACTCTACGTTTTTTAATTTTAAGTAAATTCATGCTCAAAATGCATAAGGGTGGAGTTTTGTGAAACTTTGAAAACAACAATACTTGAGGTTAGATGCCGCGTGTCATAATACATATGGTTTCTACAACTTTGACCATACAACACGAAGTTTTCTAAAAGAGTAAATTGCATCCATGGTGCATCAACTTGGCAGGTGGGTGCAATTTAGTGCAATAACTTGAGTTGAGAAATGAACGTTCTAGTGCAATAATTTGGTAGGTAGGTGCAATTTAGTATAAGAACTTTATAAGTGATCGTATAAATGCAACAACTTGCAAGGTAGGTACGATTTTGATACAGTAAATTAAAAAGTTATGCTACAACTTGATTATTTGGAGCATTTTTTTTATAAATTCAATTTTTAAGTACTAATTTTGACAATATACTAGCGCATATTTCACAGATTTGATAAGTGTATTTATATTTTTATCATAATAACTAATAACTGAAAGCCAATTAAACTATATGTAGAAATTATTATATTTCGGTTGATATTTGATAAGATGAAGAAAACAAAAAAAATCTTAAAGGTAATTGGATGTAAATTGTACTACTATGTGCTTATAAGGCAATATCCATATGATTACTATGTAATGGCATATTGACATCGTGAAAAAAACTCACCTTGTATATGCTTAGCCAAGTTGATGTACAAAAATACTAAATTGTTAAGTTCTTATACTAGAACGCACCCACTTGTCAAGTTGTTGCACTTGGACGTTCAATTTTCAAGTTCTTGCATTATATCGCATCCACATGCCAAGTTGTTGTACCGTGGGAGCAATTTACTCTTTCTAAAATTTACTCAAAAGCGAATGGTTTTGGTCTTTGTGATTTTGGGACTTCACTCCGATAACATATGGAGTTAAATATAAGTATTAACAACTAATTCAAAATAAGAGCTTAAACTAATTAAGAAGGGGCAATTGCAAAGAAAGATGGTAGTAATTCACTTATACTCTAACACGGGGAACGAGCCATGCTAGCAAGGAATGATGGGAGGCAGCGTGCAGGGAAGGTAGTGAATTAGTAGCAACATTTTATTCATATGTTAAAAAAACACAAAGTATTTTTCTGGTTATTCATGAAAGATAGATTGAAAAATAGGAATATGTTAGGAAGGATGAATTTTGAAGATACTCTCCAACATCTATTTTTGACCAACCTTCTGCTCAAGAATACTAATTTATACTGATCCCTCCATTTCATACTATAAGTCATTTTAACTTTTTTCTAATCATTTTTTTATGTTTGACTAAGTTTATAGAAAAAAATTAGCAACATCTACAATATCGAATTAGTTTTACTATAAATGTAACATTAAATATATTTTGATAATACGTTTGTTTTGTGTTTAAAATATTATACTTTTCTATAAATTTGATCAAACCAAAAAAGTTTGACTAGAAGAAAAAAACAAAATAACTTATAATATGAAACGGAGAATGTAATTAATAACTTCCCTAGCTACCATATCGGTTTTCTAGATTTTTGAAGTTTTTGCACCTTGGGATGGATGCCACATGGTATCTTTTGCAACAGTGCTCCTTGATTGAGTGGGTGAAACTAGCAGCACATGGTTCAACGGTCATTTGTTCTGTATACTTGACGTGCATGCTGACATCGTGTCCGGTGTGGTTAATTGCCGCTGGCCGGTTGTAGCGTGCATGCAAGTTGAAGCCATATTTTTACTGATCTCTCTGAAGATACATATGTTTCCCCTTTTACATGGAGATTATCATCACAATGGCTTGGAGTATTTGAATCACAAGCAATCATACGATTTTCAGAAATATAAGTCCTATTCAAGTTTGTAAATCCAGACAAAAATCAAATTTTGTCTTGGTTATCTAGAGAACAAAATAGAGTTACCACGGATCTACTACTACTTTTATATATATATATATATATATATATATATATATATATATAGAGTTTAAGATGTTTCCTTCGTCCGTTAATAAAAAAATGATAAAAAAGTCCGATTGTAATTAAAAAATCCCAGGGCAAAAAAATGCGGCAAAAAAAAAAAGCTGACCGATTCCTATTCCTACTAAAAAGGCGGAAAAAAAAAGTGCGGCAAAAAACGATTGTAAAAAGGAAAACTATGTTTCGCTATTTTTTTTTTGCGGTTTTTTCGTCGGGCCAAACCCTAGCGCCGCCGCCATGTCGATTTGCATCTTTATGTGTTTCCTCATCCAATTGATTGCAAAAATCGATTCTCCACTACTCTCGTCATTTTCCCCTTGAATTTCCCTTTCAGTTCATTATTTTTTTCCCCAAGTTTTGTGGATTGCTTCGATTTTGGTAAAAAAACGAAAAAGGGGATCAAGTGGATCAAAATCTCTAATAATTTTGGAGATCGAGAAAGATTCGACCGCATTTGACAGAGAGGATCAACTCCGCCATCATACGGACACGGTACTATGCGAGCTCGACCAGATTACCGGATTTGATGGGAGGTTTGGCTCCGTCATGGTACGGGCACGAGATTGTTCGAGCTAGGCCTACAGCTCCACTTGTGGGCTGAGGCGAAGAGAGATAGGCCGAGCAGATAGAGGTAGCGGACTGCTCTAGGACTAGAGCTGAAAAGAAGGAAGGAATGAACGTCCGGTCCAAAAACAAAGAAGCATCCGGTCCAAAACAAAGGGAGTATAATGTATAGGATAAAAAAAGTTTTTACCCGTAGCAACGCACGGGCATTTTTTCTAGTAAAGGAAAAAGTACGAATTAACCCCCCCCCCCCGAACTATCACGGTCGTCCGAATTACCCCCCTGAACTCGAAA